AAAAAAGATAAAAACAAATAACACTGTTATTCGTTGAGACACAAACAGAACCCCACCTTAACGAGACAAGTTTGTATTTAACAACATGTACAGACGTCGGGCACCAACTTATGTCTCTTCATCATCTGATTGATTTTTTTTTTCTTTCCGTGTCAAAAGGTGCTCATCTCATACTGCATTCACACTCTCCACATATCCAAATAATAAATACACTCAACTTTAAAGAGCCATAATGTTTTTACACATTAATCTCATAAATAAGGAAATGTACAGCAACCAAGTTTGTTTAAATGATCTATGGGGGTGAGCACAAAGTGGATTATAGAAAATACACAGCATGACCTGTCAGTTAAGGGGTCATATAAGAGGACGGTGAAGAGTAGCCACCATGTTATTCTGACATTTTTAAACAGTGCAGGTGATTTACGTTTGTTATCCACTGTGAAATACACTTTTTCCATTAGTCAACACTGTTTTCTGGTATTTATTCCCTTTAACAGTTTAAATGCAAACGAGACTTAAAGACGTCATGCTACGTTTCGCTGTTCCCCAACAACCTTCCTTTAACCCTCCAGCATGATGTTCCTGCACATTCAGAAATGACAAAAACTAGTGAAAACATCAGAGTGATGCAGCTGAACTGTGAATTTGTCCTGCATGAAAATGTTTATTGACCTGATAGGAATCAGTTTACTGAAAAAAATAAACATAAATAACAAAAGGAGCCGTTTCCAGCTCAGTTTGAGGGCGGAACATGCATCATGTTGGGGAATTTCTCTACTCCACTGCATCAAGATTTTTGACATGATTAAAAAAAAAAAGCCCAACCTCGGTGAATCTACCAAAGTACTCAGGCCCATTGAACCAGTTTCTCCTGTACCTCTGAACTTCATCCAAACAACTCAACTTTGCTCTTTTCCTGCTTTGAGCAGGATCTCTCTGACAGCAGGAGAACTTGCACAGAATGGAAGTGCGACTTTTCTGGACCGAGTTTAAAGTGGACAGAGAACAGGATGTCAAAAACAGGATTACCCTTTGTTTTCTTCCTTCCTCTCCTCCTTTCCTCTTTACGTTTTCTGTTTTGTCAACAGTCACATGATCAAGAGGCTACGACACGCAGCAGCAGGTCCGCGCCTTCGGCTGCTCCTCCTCCTCCAAGGGCTGTTTGAATTTGAGGAGGGGAGGATCGCCGCTGGCTGGCGTGTAGTAAACTGCGTTGCCGTTGGAAGAGACCAGTGGCATCCGAGGGTCCTCAGAGTAAAATTTGGCATCAGAGAAGGAGTCTGTGGAGCCGTTGCCAAGGTGGCCGTTGAACAAAGGGTGATTCAACAGTTTGGCTGCTGCCCTCTGCTTCTTTAACTCCGACAACGTCTGAGGGCGCTCCTTCGGCGCAACGTCCTCCTGCGAAGGCTGGGAAGTGACGGCCGTGCCCTGACTGGGCGTCGGTGTGCTGCCGTTGGAGGGCGGTTGAGGTGGCGTGGACGTTGTGGTTGTGATGAGGCCATTCTGTTTGCCACTGCCATCTTTGAGGATGGCGGGTGTCTTGAGCTTGTCTGGCAGCTCCACAGCTACAACAGGCTTTACCTGCAGAATGTCGATAATGGTTACTGTGATCCCTCTGCAGTTTAGTGCCATTTAGTCTATTCACACCCCTTGAGCTTTTTCATATTTCATTTCGTTGCAGCCATAAACTGTAGTGTATTTTATCAGGACTTTGCCTGATAGACCAACATAATGATGAGGTGGAAAGACAGAGATATGGTTTTCAACATTTTGTAAAACCAAAGTTGAAAAAAAATGCTATTTTGTTCTGGACTTGCTTTAATCTAAGCCATTAAGCCATTCCTTTGTAGCTCTGAGTCTATCTATGGTTGCTGTCCTGCTAAAAGTCAACCTCCTCTCCATATGAAAATCTCCAAATCAAACACAGATGAACATAATTTCCTAATTAGGTTACTTCTGAATGGTTGCACCAGATTTTATTTAGCTGTATCAGAATAAAGGGGGCTAAACGCAAGTGCCCACCACATTTTTCAGATTTTCATGTTTCAAAAATCAACAATTTTTCTTTGGACACAATTATGCACTTGATCTTGTCCAGAGGAAGTCAACTAAAAATACTAGAAATCCATTTTATTATGCGTTTATTTATTTATACAAGGTACTTATTTTGTAGAAAATGTAGCTATTCATAAAACGTTTTAAAAAGAGACATAAAATACAAATATTTTAAGTGACCATGGTTCATGTTTATTAACATAACATTTTTGCGCACCTTGCAGAAAATTCCCCTTCGGTTCATGACTGAGTATTTTTAGCATGTTTTGTTTTTCCATTGTGGGTTTCCTCCTGTGTGGCTGTCAGAGGAAGTCTTTATCTCTCGACATACCAACAGTCAACCTGACATTTATGACAGATGGTTATCCTTTTTGGCGTTTTAAAATCACTAATTTTAACATGAGGGAAAAATGCACCACAATAACTAGCTTCTTAGTGGAACAACTTCCCACCTGATTATTCTCCTGATCAGACTCTTTCTCCTTCTCCTCCTCTCTTCCTCCCCTCCACACAATGGCCTCAGTTTCGTACTCCTTGCGACACAAGTTGTGTCTGTCTGACAAACTAGCTCGCCGCACCACTTTTCTGTAAACACAGACGAAGTTACAATAAATAAAATTAAAAAGAAAAAACAGAAAGTCATGCTTATCTTCCATCTAAAATCAAACCCAAACCATGCAGTAGCAGGCTTTAGAACCAGCAGAGGGCAGTACTCACCCACGACTGCCTGCGCTGGAGGTTCTCCTGCACAGTGAGGTCTTGTGTTTGAGCTGAGACTTCATGATGGTGTCATGCTTGTGTTTCAGGTCCAGCAGGATGGCTCTGAACTCCTCATCCTCACACAGATCTTAAGAAGCAAAGATGAAGCACACTGTATGTCAGCTGCATGAGATTAGTTAAGATTAATGCAACAAACAACAAGGAAAAGTGTTAGCGTTCCTTAAAACTTTTAAACCAGTTCCTAGTGTGAATAGATCCTTTATCTTAAGCATAAGGAAGTCCCTGCAGGGATGATTTGTCTTCTTTAACATACCGATGGGTGTCTCCTCTAGGAAGGTCTTAGCACTGAGATTTGCTCCTTGTGACACCAGCAGCTCTGCCACATGCATCTGAAACAACCACCACAGGAGTAAATGCTACTGACGGCTCAATGTGAACACTCATCGTCTTCATGCTTCTTGCTGTGTTTGCTTTACCTGACCCCAGCAGGCTGCCGCATGAAGAGGCTGCCATCCATCAGAGTCCCTCAGGTCCACTCGAGCCCCCGCCTCCAGCAGCAGCAGCTCTGCAGCCTGAACGTAGCCGTTTGCTGCTGCGATGTGGAGCTGCAAAGACGGATTATGGATGATTGTGAAATTTCTGTCAAGTGACTTGGATATGCAGCTGATTTGCTCTGGTGTTTATACATTGTGGCTTAAGATCCCATGCACAAAGATTGTTGCAAACTAATCGCTGCAACAGAGTTTTCAATGGACCACCCAAAAAGATATCAAAAGGCTCTACAATCGGTGTTGAGTAAAGCAAAAAAAGTTAAATCATTTACTGTTAGGAGCTTATCTGTGGTCGTTATGTTTCCTGTTTTGCTGGTTGCTATCAGGGATCACTAAAAGATCCATTGAATTCAAAACTCTTCTCATCAGACATTAAAAAAACAACATTTTATAGGCGTGCAAAAATGTTCGGAAACGATGTGAAGATTAGATTTCAGCTGAAAATAGGTACAGTAAGTCTGTTGTTTGCTTCATTTAATATCCAAAGTTTGTTCACATGGACGTGTAAAATTTGTTCAAAAATTGAACGGTTGAAAGTCATGCCTGCAAAGAAGAGAATAGTAGGAAGTTGGCATATAATCTACAGAAGGTTTCCAGTGCTTTTAATACAAATAACATGCGTATTTTCTTTGATGCGCCAAGAGGCTGACCCAAATCTGTTTATTCATTTCAAAACACCAAAAAAACATGGAAGAATATTAAACTAAACCGTTTGGGTTTTTAAGAGAACTGAATTCAGAATTGGTTTATTTAAGATAACACAATTAAAACATTATTTTTTTCGGTTTTTCTACTCAGAGTTTGTTGTCCTCTGCAGGTGGCCTCACCTATGTCACCTATGCAGGATCAGCTGGTACTATGGGAACAACATGTAAAGCTGACAGAGACATAAAATCTCTGTTGGTTTGTTTTTGTGTGTGTATAGATGTCATATCTCTGACATACAGACTCACAGATAAAAGTACTTAACATCTTCAAGGGATAAGCAAAGCTGCACTTTAGAGCCCTTTTCTATACACCAGAGGGGCAAAGTCTAATTTGACCTTACAGATCCTGCTTTTGGATTTGCAATGTCTGTACATGGATATACTAAACCTGTAATAAGACACAATATCAAGAACACACAATGTAATTTAGTCACTACTTGCCAACGTGCATGTAAAATAGAAACTTTAAAAGCAAGCTTTTTCTTTAGACTTTTTATTGTATTTTTGTCCCGAGTATCAACTCAGGCTTAGCTCATTTCAAACCTGCACTGGAGTTATCCTAAGTATCCTAAAGCAGCACCTGGTGGTATTGAGAAATACCATGTAGTTGAAAAGGGCAAACAGAAGCATGTGAGGAATGTTGGGGTCATCCAGTTCATGGAGAGCTGATCTCTGTCTGCTTTTAGGAATATTGGCCTGTGGTGGATGCCCTTACCACCACCACATAGTGTTAGTTTATTTCATTTAGACATATATTTTCTCATGGGTGCACACTTTAGTGAATGTCTGTCTGAATGGTTAATTTATACTTGTTTTTGTTTGAGGTGCCACTTATAGGAACCAGCTGGTTCCTATAAGTGGAACCTGGAGTAAACCATCTACAAATTTCTGAAAGACTGAAGAGGGAGACTTCAAGTTTTTATTTAATTTTGTCACTTAAATATTCACTTATTGTTTGTGCTAAGTTAAAGTTATTTTGTTTTATTTGTTTATAGAATGCTTTAGTTAATTTTGTATTTATTTGTTCTTTTGTTTGGTCAGACATCCCTCCTGTGGTAGATTTGGGTTACTCCACCCCTATTTAAGCAGTCTTTGTTTGGTAGGTCAGTTTTGTTTGTGTTTAGTTAGAGTTCAGTTGACCTCAGTTAATTTGGATCCAAATTTGTTTATCTTTTGATTTATTCTTGCTTTAAATTTTTATGCTTTGTTGATGATTTTTGAAGAATTAAATTGAAGCCTTTTTCTACTTTGAACATTTTTTGTCCTTGTTTGAGTCCAGTCCCTCACATGGCCGATGCAGCGAGCGACTGAGACCTTCTGTTTCAAGGAGGCTTAGAGTTTATTATAATCGGAATGAAAAAACACAGGTAATCTGTTATGAACTGTACAGGAAACAGAGATTTCAGGCTCACAAGAGAAGAGCAGATTAGATTATGTGTGGTAGTCATTATTCTCATCTCATTCATTCATTCTTCCTGTTTAAAGGAGGTGGTTCCTCTCCACTGTCACCACATGCTTGCTCAGGCTGAAGGATTACAAAGTGAAAGGTTCAAAGAAATTAGCTGGGCTTCCTTTGGTTTGCTTTACCAACAGGCAATACAAGGATTTGTTGCATAAAATGTAACGTGATCGGATTAAATGACTCAGTTGTTCTGCAATTATTTGGACTGATTTGAGTTGAACTTGTCTGGTAAAGTGCTTTCAGATGACCTTTAGTGTGAATTAGCTTTTCATAAATGATTGGTGTAAATTATGCTTTTAGTGGAAAAAAGAAGTTAATATTTTAAAATATGCTCTGAAAAATAGCAAATGCAGTCTGCCATTTTCTTTTCTCCTGCTTAATTTTACTTCTTGCACAGAAAAGTTAAAACTTGCTGAATATCCACAATCCATAATTTCTGCTGGGTGTGTAGCACTTACCCAAAGATTAAGGGTTACCTTGATTCATGTTTGTAAAGTAGTGATCTAACCCTGTAATTTTGATTCGTAATCAGAAAATGGTTTATAGAAGTGGAAATACATTCATGGATCTCTATTTTACACTTAATCAGCATCATTTATTCACAAATCTATTGAGTGCAGAGTGATTCTGCACATGAAAGCCAGTTAGCAGGTCCCAGTGATCATTAATGGTTACATAAAATAACTTAAAGTCTTTGTGGCTCCACAAGGAGCCCTGAAAAATCTTTAAATATCTCAAGCTGTTTAGTGTTTAAGGAGTTGCCAAGAATGTGGAATTGCCTCAAATCTAATAATCAACAAGATAACATGTTTGTTATGCTGGCATGGGTGGATACGAAAGTGCTCTAATTAGCATCAAAAGGTCTTACAAGTGTAAGCTTTTTTCAGTATCCTTTGAATTGTAAAACGCAGTAATTTTTTCTGCCCAAAGAAAACAAGAGTCAGATTTATACTGCTCATATGGTGGACTCCAAACAAAACAGAAATGTCGCCCTCGGGTTGCCACCAAATGTTCCTCTGCAGCTATTCTAATCTTTCCAAAAGGTTTTGAGTGTCTATATAGGAATTTTTGGACAATTTTCTTTAAGAGCATTTGTGAAGTCAGACACTGATGTTGGATGAGAAGGTATGACTTGCAGTCTCTGCACTAATTCATCCAAAAGGTCCTCTGTCGAGTTGAGATTAGGACTCTGGGCGGACCAGTCAAAGTCCTCCGCGCCACACCGGAACATCCATGTCTTTGTGGAAGTTCATCCTTGTTTTAGCCATGTCAGACCGCAAGACATGAACATCACTACTGCTTAAAAACAATCAACACAAAATGTATTTCACTGAAAAGCAAAAGATTACCGTTACATAACATCGTAACCACTTTCCGTTTTTTCCCCCCGTCTTTCCTGCCAGTGATTTTAATAAGGTATGCTCCATTTTGCTTCATCATGCTCAATAAAGATTAACAGGATGCAAGGCAAAGGGATGAGGAGGTCCAACAGACAATCTGTAGTAAGTATAAAAAGCTTAACAAGGTTATTTCGGGATACTACCTTACTTCGCTATTTCCACCCAGTGATCCGTCACCATGTTTCCACATCGCAGCTAAATCCCTGATACGTAATGAAGACTTTATTTAGGTCCCTGACATTACATCCCTCTTAGGAAATTAAATGTAGATGATTCTTTTCATGCCCTTTTCAGTGCATCACTGCACTGATCTGCTATGTTGGGGAAGCAGATAATTCAGTGCACCTCTTAATACTGAAAAACTGATTTAATGAGTAAATAAAGCTTTTTCAGTCTTTATGTCAGAGCACACTTTCTGTAAATGGCTGAGCTAGCAGAACGAGTACTGTCAAACTCTGTTCCAAAGAATCTGTAAGTTATTAATGCACATAACAAGAATGTGAGCAAAAATGACCAGTTTTATATTACATTAACATTAATTTGTTTTATGCTGAATTGAAATGGTCTTACATTGATTATTGACATGCATAGCTTTTTAATGCACCAATTATTGCTTCAAGCTTCTTTATATTGCTGATGTTCACCACCAGATAACCAGTGTATCTGTAGAGGATTTCAAATCTCAGCTGATTCGCCTTAAGAAGGTTTTAATGAGCCTCTAATGCCTGATTAGCTCGGAAGGTTTTACAGCCTCCTGAGGCAACGTTGTTGAGAATATAATCTTTAAAAGGTTAACACGTAAAGAAGAAATTCACAGAATATTTATACGTATTTGTCTAATCGTCTCTCTGTTGAAGTCCTGTGTGGAGAACTCAATTTGCGTCCGCAACCAAATGATTCACATTTTCTTCAAAACAACAGATTTACAGATCTGTTTTGGTTGCACTTCAGACAGTCTTTGCTTTGCTTATTTTAGTTTTTTGCTTGGTGCTTATTGGACTATCAGTGTTAGGGAACTTGGATGTGTAACAGCATATTTGGTTTCACACAAATTAACTGATCTAACAGCAAAAGCATTAAAGTACAAAGTAAATGTAAAGAAAAAATAGTCTGAACAAAAGCTTAGGACAAAATGTCTGCTTTAACAGAGGTATAGCTGCACAATATTAGGAAACATATTTATGGGTTGATGATGTCAGTTACTATTATCCCATCTCACTCTTCTTTTCCTAGAAAGATCCATTTCAAAGAGAAACCCTCACAGCCAACTAGTTATGCCTTGGAGCAACTTCTTACCAGCGTGGCTCCCTGAGAGTCCTGTTGGTTGACCTCGTCTCCTACTCTCATCATCTCCTGGATGTCTCCCATCATCTTCCTCTCTGTGGACGCCCGTGTCTCATTGATCATCTCCTGAGTGATGCCTGTGCAAATTGCAAACAGAAGCATGCTTAATAAAACCAGGAAAATGTTACCCTCCAAGCACAGCAGCTATGATTGGCAGTAACATGTTTTTAAATTAACACAGGATTGTTCCTGCAAGCATAAGAAATTGCTCCAGGCCAAATTAAACTGATTTAAAGAGACAGCAACACGCTCTACTTTTTAATGTGGTGCAGGGATGATGGCATAAATGAGTAAACTGTTTACAAAGAGAGGATAATATGAAAAAAAAAGGCTTTTAGTTTGAATATTCAAATGAGATTTTACTTTAAGACATGGGTGCATTATTGCCTTTCATTGGGGAAGTGTATGGAAGACAAACCTGCCAAAAATAGCATTCGCTCCAGAAATAAAAAGCAGAAGCCAACAGGTGTCACCTGACCATGCATAGTTTACTGTCAAGGTCTCAGCTCTATGACCTTTTCCATGACACGGACTTGCAGAAGCCCATCCACTCATCTGAGGATCCACCTTCCTACCGAACGGATTTAAAGATAACCCTCCAGTTTATTTCACACTCTTGGCTGCAGCAGGAACCCGCATAAGACTCGGTGAGTGATTGTGAGGAAAGCTTGACTGAATTCACAATTGGAGTCTCAGCGAGAGAAGCATATAAATCAGTGCTTTTTGTTGGTTTCATGTTCCCTCACATTTTTCTTCTTTTGTGTTTTCACTTGTATTTGAATTGAAATCTTTCTCTTTAGTAATGTCACAAATTCTGCATACCTGTTGAGAGATTTGGCCTTTATGAGCCACAGCTTGAAGATAAGAGAAATCTTTTCACTCAAGTAATAAAAGAGGAAACTAAATTCAAGGACGAATAATGAAAACACAGCGGCTTATAAAAGAAATCTGGTTTTTTGTTCCTCATGGAATGAGATTGTTGTAAATACATCTACATGATGGGAGAAAATATTTGGATTTTGCCTTTGATTTTGGTCCAACAGTTTTCACTACATACACAGTCTGCAAAAAACAAAAACTCTGCACTGACAATCTGACTATAGTTGTATACAATCAGGCTTTTTATTGCAAAATTATAATATTTTGGTTAATTATCTTGTTAAAGATTCAATATATGTATATTTCATTCACATTGGTACCACTTCTTCACAGTTTACCTAAATGATGCACAAATATCACAATGGAATCACCTAAACTTATATACCAATATATCAATACTCTGTTGGCACCGAAGAAGATTCGCTCACCTCATCATGCTGAGTGCTTTAACTGTCAGCAGTCCGACCGTTTTCTAATTAATTCAACAGGGTTCTTATACACCAGATGGTGAAGCAATCAATACATTTGGACAAAAAAACAACAAAAAAAAAAAAACAAAAGGTGTCAGACAATAAGTAACTCTCTCTATCCTTGTGCTGTAGCACAATGTAAATGTTAAATCCTTCGCTGAGACAAAGATGGACTATGCAAAATGACGGCCAACTTTAAATCATGCACACATTACATAGATTTGATTTGGCTGAATTTGATCCATATCTTTGAGCTTAGATAAAAGTAACACAACCTTACATGATAAGATAAGAAAACACTGTGACAGTACATTAAATATAATGTATACATATGTGCAAGCAGACCAGTGCCAGGAGTGAAAAATTACTGCTATGAGACTCACAACACTTGAAAAATATGATCTGATAGCACTGCTACCTTGCAGCCAGAAGGTCCTGGGTTTTAATCTTGGACTGGGATCGTTTTGCATAGAGTCTGCATGTTCTCCATGTGCATGCATGGGTTCTGTCCTTGTACTCTGGCTTCCTCCCACAGTCCAAAAAACATGACTATTAGAGCAACTGGTCTCTCTAAGTTGACACACTTGGGGATCAGTGTGTGTGTGCATGGTTGTGGCTCTGTATTGCTCTGTGATGGACTGGTGACCTATCTGAATGCCTCTCGCCCAATGACTGTTGGATGTAGGCACAACCCGCAACCCTGCAAGGATAAACGATATAGACAGTTGGGTGGACAGTTATGTGGTCAAGCACTTGGGTGGAAAACCCCGTAAGAGATCCAATAACTATTGTCAGCCCATATTGTGTCTCAAACATAAGATACATGTCTTTACAGCTACACATCTTTTGTGTATTTGATAAAAATGTGACTTGTTGATGCCAGATAAAATTTAATTGAGGAAGAACCAAACCACTCAAGTTGTTTGTGTTGTGGCCGGTCAAAAGGACTGTGTCTTCCTCGCAAACAGGTAGAGAGATTGCTTCATTATCACTGCGACTCATTGCAGATCATCTCTTCTCTACAGGGGGAGGATCAAGGCAGAGTCGGATCAGTCGATGCTGCATATTAAGCGCTCTGTGTGTTGGGGACAGGCTGTGTGTGTTTGCCTGTCCCCGCAGTGTCTCTGGAGATAGAAGTCTTATTCTGCACCGCTGTGCAGAGAACATTACAAGAGCAATTAGCAGAGCTGGACTCCCTTTGATCAGTGTAATAATCATTCTTCTCACCTACTGTACCGCTATCTGCATTCTGCAGCTCCACTGATCCTTTTGTACGCTGAGAAGCTCATTTTCGAGTGTGTGTTCACCCTCTTCAGACCCCCAGTTTGTTTGTGCTTCCATCACTGGCTCCAAACCAGGATCTAGCCAACACAAGGTGGCATCATGTGCCCCATTTATACGGTTAACAGAAAACCAAAGCTATTAACCTTGCTCTTGTTTGCAAGACAGAGCTTATCATAACAGAGTTTTTCTTGACCTTTAATTATCTGAGGGAATATGAAGAAGATTTATGATGCTCCAGCATCCTCCTGCCTCCACACAGTGATGTTTACCACCAACCAGCCCAGTGATTCATTTACTTGAATGCTGAAGGGCACCTTTGCATCCTTTACAAGCATGCAAACAAGCTAAACAACTTCCCACAAACCTACACATACGCAGTCATGGTAAAAAAGAAAGTACACTCTATTTATTTTGAGTGTATCCAGGGGTTTTCCCCAAAAATTTTTAATTATGTTTTGGTGAAGTCTGAGATGTGAAGTTCTGCACACTTGGTTTTGGATTTTAATAATATCAAAGCCTAGAGAAGATCAGATAATTTATACATTAAAAGCACAGAACTGACAGAGGGATGACATCTCTTTTTAGTATGACTGTATATCACATAAAAGACACTGGTGTTAGAAAATGAGCAAAAAAAAAAAAAGGAGCCGAGGTTCAAATAAAAACTGAAAAATCTTTAAAAAGCTTGAGGATTACATGAAAATCTCACTCCCTGGAGGCAGTATACAGTATAAAGAAGTTCAAGGTAGCTTGCTTTTCATCCGTAGAAGTAACTGACATTCAGTCTCAAAGTTTATGTCCTTGGTGGCCTTCATTGATTTCATTTAAATTTCAGTGTAGAAGCACATAAAACGTTAAGCTTTCATCACTTTGCAGTGTCAACTAAGATGGTCTTTTCCACCTCTTTTCAGAGCAAACCAACATTTTTCCCTTCAGATTTTAGCAGTCCGCTCTGGAGATGTGATTCTTGCCACATTTCTTACAGTTCTAACCACTGTGTGTGTGTGAATAAATAAATTTGGGTCTCTTGTTTGTGGCAGTCTAAGTTGATTTAATTTTTTTAATTACTGCTATACGTATGTGCTTTATGCAAGTACAGTATGAAAGCCAGATTATAGTATTCAAATGCACTTAGGGAGAAGGACCTCACAGGTTTGGCTACAAGTTCACCTGGCTTGATGAAAGTAAAATTGAAGTGTTTAGCTATAATAACCATCATCACATTTGGAGGAAAGAGGGAGATTCTTACAACCCAAGAACATTATAATGTGTGAGCATTTTGCTGCAGGGATGGCAGCAAAACAGTCAGTAAAACTCAGTCAGACCAGTTCTCTCTGGAGGAACAGGACAAAATTCCAGAAAAGAAACACAATATCCAAAACATCTCGCCCAAGTCATATATTAAGGATATTCTTTCTTTACATCACCACCTCCAAAGGTTCCTCAGTCGTCCCCAGAACAGAACCAGCCTTCTTTACCAAACAGCTGAGCATTTTTAAGTCCCTGGTTCTACTGCTGCTGCTCTAACAGATGATAGCAGAAGATATTACACTCTCCACAACAGACTTATAGAAGACATGCAGCATCTGGCTGCAGACATGGAAAGATCTAAGCTTACCAAGAAGTAAAGTCTGCTCCATCTCTAAGACAACTTGTTGCATATCCACTCCGGTCCGTTTTCCAAGTGAACACCAAAGTATTTATACTCCTCCACCAACTTTCCATGATGGAAATGGAGCTCGACATACTCATGTTCCTGAAATCTACAGTCATCTCCTTTGTTTTGTTCACATTTAAAATAAGGTGATTGTTCCCACACCATGCCACAGAGCGCTCCACCAACTCTCTGTAGTCAGCTTCTTGATCATTTCTGACAGACCTGATGAATGCAGAGTCATCTGAGTATTTCTACAGATCACAGGAATCTGTTTTGTACCGGAAGTCTGACATATACAGCGTGAAAAGGAATGATGAGAGTACAGTCCCCTGTGACGCTCCTGCATTTCTGACAACCTGCTTCATTTATTAACCACCAGACATTGTGGTATCGTGGGAATTAATATAATCCTAGCTAATGTAAAACAGGAAATGCTTAATCTGATTTAATGTTGGTAAGAAAAAGGTTATGTGTCTTTAGATGTAGTTTACGTAAATATTTAGTTTCAATTGCATTTCAGCAATAGAAAAATAAGAATTCCTGACAGGCAATCTCAAAATGTATTGCCCTTCAAGCACTAAGATTCCTCTGTTACAACAATGCTTGTAAAGGTCAAATATCCAAATATCTTCAAGTCAGTTTGTGGAGAAAGACAAAGACATTCAGAGATCCTCTTTGGAAGAGGAAACACTTTTCCCTCACGCCCTATTACTGCAGTAAATACAACACAACGCCATATCCTGTTTACACAAACTCCACATTTGCAAGTATTGGAAAAAAAAATAATTCAGTGTTTACTGGACTTTAAAGGCCAACTATTTCCTGGCGGGTGGCAGGAACTTCCTGCAATCTCCGTTCCTCCAGCAGATGCTCCTCATTCTGGTCAAGTCCAGCAAGCAACCCAATGGGCTTATTTTTGCTCATTAAACTTGCGAAACTCAGCCAAATTGCTAATATATCTACAAAAATGCTAATCTGCTCTTCCAGTGGATTATATTTCAGCAGCCAAATAACATGCATCCAGTCTTAAATGCAAAAAAAAAAAAAAAAAAAATCACTGCCAACAAGATTTTCTTCCTTTACCAGCTGTAGTCACACATGGCAGTCTGTAAATGTCACTATTTACCCAAGAATAAACTAAAACATTGACAAGCCCTTATGTGGATTTTACTCCAAGCTAAATACAGCCATATCTCGCCAAAGCACATATTTGAAACACATCACACGCCCCCACTCCTTCATTCTTGCTGATCTGCAGTCTGTTTTGTCAGCACTGCTCTCCTAGAGCTCTCTCTCACTAATATCACAGACAAACTGCGCCGGCTGCAGCTGTTTACTGTGCCGCAGCATGAATATACAGCCTCCTAATCTGCATCCCATCGAGAGAGAGGGAGAGAGAGACAGAACACGTGAGCAGTGAATATATTAGGAGTTTACCCAGAGAGCTGGTCCTAAATCTGAGCGAGACTCTTAAAAACTGAGTGTGGTCTCAACTCTGCTGCTGGTTTTCTCTGCAATATGTACCTGTGCAGCCCAGAGCAGGAGGAGTGTAAAAATTACTTCAAGCTGCAACACATGCTGACTGCGTCCTGTATAAATTGGATACATCTATATCTATATATATATATATATATATATATATATATATAAACATATACAAACATGAATAAAGGGTAAGTAACTGATGGGAAAAAAGGAAAAACAAAATTAAAGGAAGTAATTAAACTTCAAAGTATAATAAAAACAAGGCGGATGTTGGAGATAACATCAACAGTCTAAACATTTTCCATTTGAGTACTGTTTTGAAGTCTTCTGAAAGTTACAGAAAAATATTTTCCATCAGAGATATTTAAACTTGTTTAAAATCATTAAGGCTATTTCAACATCTCCTACTGGGTGTTTTCTGCAGACTCCATCTTTGGGATTAACGGCTCCCTTCAGATTGTAGCTCTGTGATAAATACAAGCACACACACTTTCTTCATGGCACACTATTGGAGGCATATGGTAATTACACACAGGGGATATTAAAATGAATCAACTCATATTGATACACGGACGGTGTGAACGCTTTAAATAGAGCCACTATGAAGAGAAACAGTTTTGGGGATTTGATCTTCATGCAGATGTTTTCACATTTTTACATCAATAAAAGTTGATCCATTGCATAATGAGATACTTGACACTTTATTTAGAAGCATGATCCACTCACATGCTGTGAATGTGAAAGGACATCAATAATTTAGCTTTACCAGTATTTTAGAATTTTTAATATGCAACGTTTTCAAATTCGTTTTGTCCTTTCTTGATTTAATCCCTATATCTTTTGACTGTTCTTTAATTCTTGTATCTCTCCATTTCTATTTATGTGTTTCTGCAAATTACTCAATATTAGTTAATTTGTTTCCAGCCATTGTTTCAGGGATAACAAGACTATGAATTATTATTCTTCTTATAAAAAGCCTTGAAGTTATTTAGTACTAAGGTTTAAGTTATTTAGTAAAAAATCTAGGTTTTTAATCCTATTCCCCAAAGACAAATAACTATACTTAATTAAAAATCTGCAGTGATGGTATGAGAGACTTTTTATCCAGTATTTTTAAGCTTATTCCTTCCTTCTGTTGGAATGACCTTACAGCAAAGCTATTTAATTTTTTTAATCTTTTTCATAATTTTAATGTCATTTTCTTTCCTTCTGTCTTTCTATTTTCTTTGAACTTAAAACTGCTTAGAGTAGAAATTACACAAACCAAAGAAAATAGAAGACATCATCTCAGTATTTAATATTACTTCAGCAATAAGAGGATTAGTTGATGAATTATTGCAGTTAAAAAAAATAACTAGTAAGATCATCCTAAACATTAAAATTATAGTATTTTACTCGATTACATAATCCTGTGCAGTCTATTCAAACCACTAATTCTAGCCAGACTCAAAAATGAGTCTCTGCTTCAGATTCTCCATCTTTTTTTTTCATTTCCACGCCCTACCTCTGTTGGCCATGGCCGTCTCTATGATGTCCAGCGTCGGGTCGTCCTCACACAGGTCATAGGGCATGTTTCCGTCTGAGTTGACTGCCAGAAGATCTGCACCACTGTAGGAAATGAGCAGATGAATATTTAAACCAATATATAATATTCATTTGCAAAAGATACTGTGTGGATTAAACACTAAAAACGGTTTAATATATTAATGAAAGCTTCAGCTGTGATAAATGTTCTCCACAGGTGAGTTAAAAAATGCTGAAAGCTCATCGTCACACTGACCTAAAAAGTAAGAAAAGAAATAATTTGATGACAAAAATTATATTAAATAACATCAATAATATAAACACATACATACATACAATGATAAAACAGATATTTGCTCAGTAGTCATAAGCTTTATTGCAGCTTTCCGTCTTCATAAACAGAAACAATGTGGGTGTGATTAGTTTACTCTCATTTCTCTGATGTTACTTTTTGTGCCTGTGCATATCTTGATGTTATATCTTCATTAAGCTGTAATTAAAGCCTAATAAAAGCCATCTCATTAAGTCCTGATTAAAAATGTCAACGTGTGAGTCACACTATCCCGGCCATTCACGGTTAATTTAGCTGACGAAGACAGGAGCTTGTGTCAGCGCTACTGGATTATTAAAAGCATTTTCATAATAAAGATGGACGGCAAGTCAATCAGTGACTGTTCTTCTATGACATCATGTCCAAGGACAGGACAGAACTCATCGATATATATGTCAAGTGTGTCCTCTTTTGTTTTGTTTTTTAAATACAAATCACACACTTCTGCCACAAATTGATCCTTTTGTTGTGTGTTGGTCTCCTTTTTCATGAATATCCTATTTTTCATCACGTTATTAAAGTGGGATTGCAATTTCCTCCACTGCTAGATGCATTACCATCCATGTTGGTAATGCATCTACCATACACTGGCTCCACAGTGAAGCCAGTGTAATTTTTTTAGACAGAAAATTGTCCTTTTTCCTACAAGGAAGTCACGGGAAATCAATTCAGGCTCCAAAAAATTGCTTTTTTGTTACCCACAGCTGCATATAAACCTAAAAACACACAAGCCTAAAAATGTACCAGTGCTGATATTTTCTTCGTGGGCCTTGTGAATCCCAGCACTTCCTTTACAGCAATTATTGCTTCTGCAAGTTCAGATTCAAACTGATTAAAAATCTCTTTGGATTTTCTCTTCCACTTGAAGACATAAAACTAGTAATGGGTGACACTAACCCAAGATGTTATTGAATTTATTGCAAACACAATAAAAGTAATGATTAAAAAAAAAAAAAAAAAAGCTTCACAAAATCTGATCTAAAATAAAACTCACCTATTATCAAACAGTAATGTAGCTCAACTGCCAAACAGCAATTACTTACAGCTACATTAAACCAATACAGAAAAATAATAATAATCCGATTCCTACGGTCAGTTTTGGAGGTTATTGAGTTTTTTTGTTAGAATCAGAAGATGATTCATTCTTATTACAACAATTTTTTTATTTCAAAGCAATTATAACTGATGCAATAACTGTGCATCCCGAGCAAAAACTGAAAATGTGTAAATCCCTGAAGCTACCTACATTATTTTATCACTATATCTAGTAAGTATTCACCTCCGTATACCTCAATATCTTGTTGCTGCTCCGTCATGTGTATCTTAGTTCCTTGTTGCTATTGTGGCTCACACACCTGGCTCATTCGAAAGTCAGGATTCCTACATAGATTCCAAAAGCATCGTTGTTGTGCGATTTTTCTTCTGCATTTGAGCTCAACTCAGGCACCTTCCCTTTATTTTACTGGTGGTTGAGGGGCTTCTCCAGTATGTACCCTTTGTAGGCTGTGCTGGAGAAGCCCTCCGACTGCAGAGATAGCCCAGTTAAATCACTTTGCACATTCAGCAAGATATATCTGGCACTCATGCATGAAAACAGCTGAGCTCAATGCATGTAAGGAAAAGATTTTCTTTAACCCTTTAAGTATGATGATCATCTTCAACCATAGGAGTTATTAAACATTTATAATATTTGTTTAAAGGTGTTGATGCTTTAACTCATTTCAAGTAATATTCACATTACATATTATTAAAGACTCAATATCTGGAGTAGAGGACATTTTATTCATGTCAAAAAAAAATTGCAAAACGTTATTTTTAGACCCTTTAACTGAACAAGTTGTTTTCCTTTATATACTCTTAAAATTATTAGCTGTGTATTGGAAAAACATTTGAAATTTTCTAACGTCTGATCATCTTAATCACCCACAAGATGCAGCGATTAGGCTTTTCCCTGCTCATTACAATTTATGATTGTGCTGATGTTTATGGTTTATGGACTGAAAATTGTGGACTTTGGAATATATATATATATATATATATATATATATATATATATATATATTTTTTTTTTTTTTCCCCCCAGCTACTGATCTGCCAAATAATGGTCATAGCCAATCAAGGGAAAATTGGCTCGTTTTGATCTTTGGCTGGTTTCTCTAATTATTAGTTAAGGCCTTAAGTCCTACATTTACTTCTTTATGACAATTTACGTTTGCAACCATATCTAGCTCAACCACAGATTGGGGTTTTCATGTCATCAGAGAGTTTGTGTAAGCTGTTCAAACTTAAATGCATTTCCACTTATTCAGCTTTTTCAACACAATTAATTCAAACTACAACAGTAAGGGTCCAACTTAAAGGATCTGGAGGAAACATTTCTGGACATCAGCGGAGTTGTGCTTTTTTTTCCTCTGACATAACATCCATTGAACTGAGGTTTCTACATGACTCACTGTGCGATGAGTATTTTGACAAGTCCTGCGTGGCCACAGGTCGCAGCAGCGTGCAGCGGCGTCCACAGTTCGTTGTCCTGAGCGTTGACGTTTGCTCCACGGTCCAACAGTAGCTTCACCATCTCTTCATAGTTGTCTATGCAACACTGTGTGGGGAAAAAGGAGGAGTAGATATTCCTGTCAGATCGCTGATTAATGCAAGAACAGTTATTTAAGGATTTAGCATGTCAGAATAAAATTTAGGGTAATGGAAAGTTGCATTATTTTTCAACATTTATCATCACATTATTTCCTCTTGGATATTTTATATCAATATTGAGAGGCTGAAGAACAGCGGGAAGGAGAAAATATGTTTGAAGCTGCTGTTTTTATTGAGTCACTCTAAACTTGACGTGAAAACTGCTGTGCTTATCTGAGAAAAACTTTCACATCTGTGTGGCACAGACGAAGACCGACTAAAACAACAGTCAGGCAGCGT